CGATCGTTTTGCTGTTTAATTCGTATCCGTAAACGATTATTATGCATTGACATTAAAAATTGCTTCCAGCCTCGTCTTGATCATGGTCGATATAAAAGAAGATCTGTCGTGGAGCTTGGTGGCAGTCACCATACGATTCCCTACACCTTCAGCGGAGTTTCATCCAAGGGCAATAGTTGCCTCAACAAATTCAATTTTTCGTAGGGAAGCCCTGGGGGGTAAGAACGGAAGCAAAATGGCCCACAAATAATGGGGGGGCAGCAACTCGCGCCACAGCCCCCCCCCTGGCTGAGATCTCTTCAGCGTTTTCTTGAATCCATGGCATGTTTGTTGCTGGTGTTGAAGAGAAAAAGTATCATGACTTAATTCTTCTTCTGAAACCACATAGGTTGCAAATCCTGCGATGGTGTTATTGTTTAATTTTACTCTCTGGGGCTTTCAGTTGACTCTGGGAGCATGGAGTTGCTAGGAATTACCTGAATTTTTTCCCGGCAGCACACAAAGTCGCGCACTCCTGAGTTGTCGTTATTGGCCTATCTCTAAGTGATCATTTCTTTGAGATTTAATTCAGCACATTTAACGAAGCAGAAAAGTTGTGCGGCTTGTGGAGCTGTAGTCATCTCACCATCAGCGATATGAGACTGCTGTTTGACTCCCTGTTTTTCAATGGAAAACGTTTTTGCAGGTTCTATCGGCAATGAACTTCACTATTCTCATTGCATTGTTCATGGCCGTAATGGTAAGTACTACTAACTATTCAAACCTTCCGATGCTTAAACTATTACCCCGGGAAATGGATCAAGCCCTGCGCTCATGCCTTAGCATCGCAGACCGGATTGAATTTCATCACATTCATCGCTGCCAGCCTAGTCCAAAATGTTGAGAACACTGTCTTCAACCATCCAGCCCTTACTTACATTATATCGATATAAATTCTATTCAAAAAAGTATTGTAGGTTGGATATAGCCACGGTTACGCTGAGAGCCAATTCATCTGGCGCAAGAAGAAGTAACGCACTGCATTTAATCCATCATTAAATAAATTTTGGGTTTTCATGGTGGACGCACACTCACACGACTCCTATTTGTTCCATCAAATATATGGAACAACGTTCCATATATTGTGCAGGACAACTCAAGCCGACAACAGTAATAGACCATATCATGAGAGTGTTGAGGGCGTAACGCTTCACGTATTCACTTCGGTGTTGTCCATCTGAAGAACGACAGCCTTGGGTTAATTTGGGTATTTTGGCTCGAAAAGGTGCTCGAATAGGCCACAAATTGGAGGATATACGGTAGCGCTCATAAGTCTGATGGAATACGGTGGAATACTTTTTCGACTCTAACTTTCTTTTACTGAATCGAATAGGTATAAATTTCATTGTATTCTGAAGGTAGGTCTCTTTCACTAAACTGGGGTATCAATGTTAAATGGGAGAAAGAATTTGAAATAAAAAATTATCTCACTGCAAAATCTCGAGTATGACCAAATTTCACGTAACCTTCAAAGTATTGTAAAAAAAACTTTCAATTCAACAAATTAATCTATCATATCATGAAAGACATTGAGCAGAGTCACTACATTGTCGCACCTGCTGAAGTCGCTCAGACATCTTAAGCATGGAATTAGTCAATGAATGCGCTGCCTAGTGGGACATCTTGATCCACTTTTCTTCAAATTTGACGTCTCGGGACTACAACTCCTTGCCTGCGCGCGCATCGTTCGACTTCGCTGCGCAAATGATAGTCCACAGAGGCGGACGCTGCGGCGCCGCTCCATTGTTGAATCGCTACCCTGGAGAGCAGGGGTAGCCTCGTTGATCGTGTTCGCTCTCACAGTAGTACTGGCAACTGCGCTCTGGTGCAAACGTGGATCACGGTATGCACAGTGTCAAGCGTGCGTTGAGGAATCCTCTACAGGTCGACAGGGGGGGTCTTGCCCCACTGGGAGGAGGAGATTGTGCCGGATCGATGCGATAGGTATCATAAGTATGTGGACACTTTTCCAAAGCGAAATATCTTCAAGATCAAAGAATGGTAGACCTTCCAAAGGTTCTGATGAGCATTTTGTTCGGCATGTTCTGAACCAGGCTCCCGATACCTGTTTCGTCAACTCTTCTAACCAAGCAGCTAATTTCAGCAACTTGTTAGGTCACTTGACATACTAGTTTTTCTTCAATAACGCAGAAACAGTGAACCACTATCTGACTACGTCTCCAACAAGGATTTCACCTCTGAGGAATATGCCGAACAGTCTATCACTCGAAACCCTGCTTCCTTCCAAAATGGAATACGTGAAGGGGACCCCCTTGGGCTTGCTGCAAAACAAGTGTTTTGTGACGCTGGCTTCTCGAAAAAGGTATAAGTCGGGATCCAAGCACCTCATTATAATCCTAATTGTCTACCTGACATGCTGGCAAGCCAATCTCCATTTTCCGCTTCTTTTGAAACCACCCCAGACAATTGATGAGCCTCCTCCGAAATGTCTCTTTGGGTACAGCTGCTGGTCACGACGAAGGTCCTTCCATTTGCAACGAGATCCACCCGAATAGCCAAAGATAAGACTTTTCCTCACCATTCGAGGTTGTCTAAGGGGAAACTTCCCACAGAGCGTCTTCTATCTATCTATCGTCTTCTTCTATTATTATCTTATTGTTTTCACGAAAGCGTGTTGTCCGGGTTCAACGTCTCATGTTGTGATCTATTTTTTTTGCGGGAATTCCAACCTTGCCAATCTGTGCTGCGCATCCATACACGAAGCTTTCTTCATCTTCTCTCGTGTCGTGTGCTCACTCGATTTGATGGAACACCGAGTGGTCTTTTTTATAAGGGGGAAGCTATTGTGAGCTAACGCGGATAGCACACCAAAAAATTTCGAGATGGTACAGGCTATTCGGCTATTGAGAGCCGAACGTGGCAGTTATTTCGTTTTGACTAAAAAAGGATTGGAGACGATCCTCAGTCAGTATTGAGAGCTTAGCATCAGGATTCTGGATCTCTTTCCCAACAAACGAGGACGCACGACCGGGTTGACGTGCGATTTCGCAATTGGAAGGTCAGCAACATGAGGACCCCACATCTCTGCTTGGTCCTCTTTAGAAAAATGCCTGTTGTGAAGAGGAATAATGCCAGAATAAGTAACGAAAGAAAAAGTAAACATAGTGCAGAAAGTTGATCTGCCTCAGGGTGTCCACATATTTTGATACAAAGAAAAAATTTTCCATGAAAAATAGTTCGCTAAGTTAGAACGAAATCTTTTGCCGAAATGTCATTGTAGGTTATCGACCACTAGGAGTTGAATGGTGAAGGTTTCATGACATAAAAGCCTTTAGCTGACCCCTGAGAATCGATTTCAGGGTGTCCACATACTTTTACGCACTGAAGTAGATAAGCCGCTCCACGGTCAGCGCCAAAGATTTATGAACACTCAGGTGATTAATGCGCTTACCTCTTCTTCAATCGAAAGGTGGACGTGTAGATTGAGAGCATACTCTGTGTAGTACTAAAACTTGGTAAGCCTTCAAAGGAAGTAAAAGAAGAAGAGATGCTGCCATAGTCTGCTTTTTCATGACTACTTCGTAGTTTTTTGCTTCACTTGTTGATAGGGCTAATTGTTAATGAATGACCTATAGTAATAGTGGCACTATCCCACTATTACTGCCCCAAAATCTCAAAGTTTCATTTTTCGTCGAAACTTTGCCTATTGGGGTAATTCGATGCCCTGATTACGAATATGACATTCATTTTTGATGCTGGCGCCATTTGGCGCCACGGCTGTTTTCACCAAATCGCTGAAACTTGTGTATAGGGGTTATTTGGGGTCCTGATCACGAATATAACATCCAGTCTTGACGCCGGCGCCATGTGGTGTCACAAACAACACTTCACAGTCAGAGCGTACTCTTAGGCACCTTTCTCAGAGCGCCGACTGTCAGACCGTGGAAAAGGTCATCGAATCGGAGACTTTCCCACGACAGGAAGGAGCCAGACCGTGGAAAACTGTGAGCTGAGCCAGAAGCATATTTCACGTTTTCGACAACGGAGAATAACGATGGCTCTTGCTACTGACGTGTACGAGAAGCTTAAGTTGGATCACCTGCAACCAAGTGATCCAACTTAAAGGAATCTTGCGCGGAAAATTCTTGCACTCTTTCCTAACATGAATATGTCAGTTGTGATCACTGGAAATAGCACACAAAGTTTCACGCATGAAGATTCGGTTTCTGAAGAGAAACAAACGTACAAAAACTACACGTTATGGACCATCGAAGGACCAGGAGGCAGAGCCAGGCGAGGCATGGAAAGAAGACGGCGTTTGGCCGGCTACGTACCAGGCGACGCAATGAGAGAATCGGGTTAAAGCGCGCGATTTCGGAGAGTGGAGACAAATCGATCGATGGAATAGGATGGAGTAGAAGTGTAAGATGTGAATGCAACGAAGCAGAAGGCCAGAAAGAGCTTCTAGTGAATGCACTCCAAGAACCAAGTTTGAGCATCCCCGTCGCCAGCATTCGTGAAAGACGTCCGTGGGCAATTCGAACGCGTAGCAGCCTTTTCGAGTTTTCGAATTTCTAATCAAAACGAAAGCAATACTTCAGTTCTTTTCACTATTATCGTGGATAATGAGTCTCAAGCCAGTGATTTATGGCTGAAATAGAATCATGATTTTTCCGCGCAAGATTCCTTTAAGCTTCTCGTACACGCTCGTGCTCGTGCTTTGTGACCTCATCTGACTTCATGACATGATTGCAAATCAAGTCGTTGTGCCGTTCGTCGTTGATCAGGCTC